AAGCTAAAAACTGAGGTATACTTAAATAATACATATGCATAAAGACTAAGTGAGGTGTATACAGGGGGGTTTCCAGACGAATTTTGGGTCATTCTAAATTCACATCCCTTGTGCTCGTTACACACCTTTGGGGTTAGGGGAGACCAAAATTCGTCGTACAAAATAATATAGGAACAAATTCATCACAATTACGTATACTACCCTTACCATAAATCACACTTCAAGTTATCCATCAATACCAATATAACAACACATATGTCTTGTCCACTCCTTTTCTGCTGTATTCAGAAATGTTACACATTCTGGTGCTCGAGGAGGTTAGACATGTCACTAGATTGTATACACCCGTTCCTTACAAATTTTGTATCGTTATGTCATACAATACTGGGTCACTCTACCAAAATACAGCCAGAGAATCTGAACTTTATACATTGACAGGCCCTAACTGTTGCAAGAAATCACATCAACTTCCCCAGCCCTATAGAGAATCAGAGGATGTACTAACTGTTTCCGACCTTGCACTTCTTGCATCATTGAGCATTAAATACTCTAGCTTAGTGCTCTACTGGGTCCACATTTAGCCATACACAACTGATTGGGGACCTTCAGGTAGATATTTATTCTTACAACTCCTTAACCTAAATCCCTAGCAATTTGTTTTCCAGAAGTCAAATAAATCTAAATATATAGTATTATATACAAGTCAATAATATAAGTCAGAATAACATTCATAAGAATGTCCTCGATCTACTATATCCAGGTGTCCTCACGACCCATTCATAAGGAACAACAATCATTCTCAATCCTAACAGTTATTCTACTAACTCTAAGCTAGGATTCATCAAATTCACGTCCTATCCTGGCCAAGGCATAGGCTTCATCAAAATCTTCATATTAAATCTCATAACAGGGTAGTACAACTAAAACTCAACTTTTCAGCTTAATCTTAAAGCACCAATATTAGCACCACATAAATCATTAAAAATTAATACCTCTTAACTTGTCTTTAAGCATTCCTGTAGATTCTATAGCTATTGTATCTATTACATCTACTACCATATTATACGACATAATCCTCAAATCTCTTGGGGGGTCGTCTAACTCTTACATCTGTAAGTATCCCTTGCTCTTCATCTGCATTAAGATACTTCTCTTCAATTTTCTCTAGTATCTCTTCCCTATCAATAAAAACTTTCAACTTTTCTGCGGCTCTAATTAATGTATTTCCATCAAATACATTCTCTAGTTTATATGCACGTCCTCCGTCAACCACGTCAATAACCTTAAATGGTCCCTTCCATTTCCTATTTAATTTAGCAGCAGTATTAGGGATTGGTTCCTCAATATAGACCCATGCTAAATCTCCAACTTCTAATGGTTTGTTCTTTCTACCTACATTTGCCTTTTGTAAGTATTTCTGGGTATTACGTTTCAAAGTTTCTTTCAGTAAGTTCTTTACGTCTAATTTATCTTCCTCATCCACCTCATCAGCTGGTAGCATTAGTTGTCCTACTTCTCTGTTAGGATGTCTCCCATAAAATGCAAAATAAGGTGAAGTACCTAAGGAAGTGTGTACAGCTTCATTCAGTGCTTTCTCAGTTTCCGAAACGTGACTGGGCCATGTATTTGGATGTTCTTGACTCAGAATGGCAAGTACGGTCTTAAGAGTTCTATGGGCTCTTTCTATCACTGAATTACCCCGAGGATGGTATGGTATAGAAAATCCTTGTTTTATTCCTGCTTTCTTGCAGAACTCTCTAAATTCTGATCCTGTAAACTCTCCTCCATTATCTGAAATCACTAATCGAGGAGTTCCAAACCTACAGATATCTTTCTTGAATTCTGCGGCAACTGCTGTTGTACTTTTGTTTCTTAAAGGGTAAATTCTCAAGAATCTAGAAAAATGGTCAATGACAGTAAGACAATACCTAAATCCTGTCCTACTCCCATGCAAATCAATTAGATCAATGGATACTCTCTGACCATTATCCTCAACTGGTGGTAAATCTCTCCACTGATGTATTATGGACCCATGTCCTTTAAATTGTTGACATGATTTACATGATTTTACATAGTTCTTCACATCTTTCAACAAGGTAGGCCAATAGAAGTACTGTTTGGCTTTGGCAACTGTCTTATGTTCTCCTAAATGTGAATCATTATGGGCTATAGAGCAAGCAACTGGTATTAAAGTCCTGGGGACTACAAGGCAAGATCTGATTTTACCCATTTCTTCTCTTTTTAGATACAGAATGTGGTCTCTAATTTCAAAGTGATAAAACGGTCTGTTACCTGGAATTCGCTTTGGTATGGTACTTCCTTCTAGGAACTCTATCAATTTAGTCCACACTTTATCATCTCTTTGAGCTTGTTTGATTTCGTCCACTGTCAGTCCCAAAAACCTAATATCATTACTTGGTTGTAAGACTTCCTCACTCCTATTGGTGATTGCTCCTATGGTCTACTAAGAGTGTCTGGTACAGTATGTTTCGTGCCTTTCTTATACTTAATTTTATAAATGTAATCCCTCATTTCTAAAATATATCTAGACATTCTGGGACAAGCTGTTCTCTTCTTAAACACAGTGGTTAATGGTTGATGATCTGTAACAATGGTGAAAGGCTTACACCAAAGATAATGGTTGAAAAATCTACAGGCATTAATGATAGCCAATGCTTCCTTATCTGTGACTGAGTATTTTTTTTCTGTTGAATTTAACTTCTTAGAATAGTATCCTATAGGTCTTAGATCATCATGTTCCTTCTGCATTAATACTCCACCGATATGGGTATCACTAGCATCTGTGTGTAGTTCAAATTCTTTAGTTTGGTCAGCTTTGACTAAGACAGGAGCACTTACTAATTTCTCTTTCAGTGTTACAAAGGCATTATTACAGGCATCATTCCACTCAAATTTTACATCTTTCCGTGTCAAATTAGTTAAAGGTTCAGCTATTAATGCAAAATTTGGTATATGCTTCCGATAAAAATTACACATGCCAATGAATCTTCTTACTTGTTTGACACTTTGGGGAGGAGGCATCTTATTAATTGCTTCTAGGTTCTTTTTGTTTGGTTTGATTCCTTTTTCTGATATAATATGTCCCAAGAACTTAACTTCTTTCTTGCCAAAATCACATTTGGATAGATTTACTTTCATTCCCATCAGCTCTAACCTTTGAAATATTTCTCGTAATCTTTCTAGCATTTGTTGATAAGAGTCTGCCCAGAGAACTACATCATCTAAATAATTCCTGCACCAACCCTTCTTAATTAAGGGGCTTAATACTTCCTGCATTTTCCTAGTAAATATAGCAGGGCTAATTGATAGTCCAAAAGGCAAACGCTTAAATCTATATAAACTTAAGCCATCTGAAAAAGAAGTTAAATCTTTAGAGGCTTCATCTAGGGCTACTTGAAAATAAGCATCTTTAATGTCTAAGGTGCAGTACAATTTCTGCCAGCACTTTCTTCTACTAGTTCTGATAATCTAGGAAGAGGCTGTACATCCATTTTTATTTTCTTATTAATTGCCCTGAAGTCAATACACATACGTTTTGACCCATCAGGTTTACCAACCAGTACTATTGGTGATAGATATGCAGCAGTGGATTCTTCAATAACTCCTCTCTCTATCATATTTTGAATCATCTATGCAATTATCTTCTTTGAATGTTCAGGGTACCTATACAGTGGCATTTGGACTGGCTCATTGTCTACTGTAGGAATATGGGCTTCCGCTACTTTTAATCGACCTAATTCCGTCTCATCAAGTATGAACAAATTATTGTTGTCCAGAATTACCTCTGTTAATAACTCCTGTTGGTCTTTAGTAAGGTGTTTCCAGTCCATTTTCTCTATAAGTGCTCTTAGACGAGTTCTCCGATCACCACTAATCTGGACCTTATCACTATGAGGAACTAAACTGTTGTCAATTTCGCCAACATTTCCTACTATTAATTTCTCCAAAGACCTACAGCATACTCTACAGTCTCTCATTGAGGTTTTCATTACTTTTTCAATTTGCTCTTGTGGAAAAAGATGAAAATGAGGGCCACATAGCATAATTTTTTCTTCCTTCTTTGATTCTTCTAAAAGTGTTCTTGCAAGTTCTACTTTGTTACCCATCTCTAAACCATTTAAGTCTAAGTATGTAATTTGTTCTACCTCTATAATTGTATATTCTCCAATCTTGGTACCTGGAGTGAACTTAATGGGTTTCTTTCCTATATGAATAATTGGCATGTCAAAGCCCTTTTGTTCATCTATTACATAACAACCATTATTCAAGATTGGCCTATTTAATTTTGACATTTTTCCATTCTTCACCTTTTCAAAACAAATTATCTGTCCTACTTGGAAATCTTTATGGGTTATTCTCAGATGTGTAACTTTTCCTGGAGGACACAAGGTCTTTATGTTAACATGTAAGCATTTTTCTGAACCAAATTTAGGATTTTTCGTTTCTAAATCACGAGTTGCTTCCTTGCATTTTACCCTATTGATTGATCGGCCAACTGTCTTGTAAATTTTATACTGCTGTTCACCCCAATATAAATCTTGAGTTCTCCCGTTCCATGAAAATTTTGCCTTGCCTATCATATCAGCACCCATCAAAACATCTGTGGTTAGATACTCATCAGGGACAATTATCACCTTTTGTTGAATGGAAACATTTGGGGATACTAACACCTGAACCTGAATTTCACCTCGGACTTTGAGTAATGTGTTGGTCACTGAGTATAGGATTTTACTACTTGGTTTAATTTTATCTTGTAATTCAAGTGTCCGGAGCACACTGTATTTCATCAATGTTGCAGAGGAGCCCGTGTCAACAAAAGCTGAAATTTGTCTATCATGAACCATAATCATAATAATGGGGGTATCAATCTTTCTAATCTGGTTAATGCTGTTTACTTTAACCTTCCTGTTTGGGTCTGATTTCTGATATTCATTTAGTTCCTTCTTAGGAAAGCAATTCCCTAGTTGCTGCTGTAATTGCTATTCATTGGTTGGGTCACCATTGTTCTGTGTTCTCGTATCAGTCTTACCAGGACATCCAGAATGACCTTTTCTTTTACCCTCTGCTAGGCAGTCAAAACAACTTCTTGCAGGAGGTTTTCTTGGACATTTGTTACGAAGATGTTTGCTTCCATTTTGACACCAACCACAAGGATAAACAATTATATCTTTGGGTTTGCCTGTCTCTTTGAATTCTACTCTGTTTACCGGTGAATGCACGTAGCTGCGTTCTCTTTCTAATTCTGACAGAAATGCTTCTCCCATCCCATCACTAGCACAGACCTTTAACCTATGTTTGATGGATTCTGGTAAGTTTTCCATCATCACATTCTTCCATGTTTCTTCCTCTTTAGGGGCTTGTTCTTGAGGAAATGCTCTAGCTATGGTCCTAAATCTAGCCCGAAATTTATTCACAAACTCTAGGGTCTTCATCCAATGCGTAACCTCTACTACATAATGCTCTGTATGCTTCCATTGCATTTTTAGGCCTAGTGAACTGGGTCCTTAGAATCTTATCTATGTCTCTAAATTTTCCACCACCTGGAAGGCTTTCTAATTCACCATCCACAAAGGTTCGCAGATCTCTTTCCATTCTGTTTAAGGCAATATTCTTACAGAGTTCATCATCTTCCCCTCCTAACTGTTTTACCTGTTTTGTAAACATCTTAATGTTACCAAGAGTGTCAATTCCATGTAGGTCTTTCATGCTCAACCTTTCAATATCCTTACTTGTTAAAGTATGGAGCTGAGTGACAAGTGGAATGTTTTGATTAGCCTGAGCAATATTAGCCTGAGGTACTGTTCGCTCAAGTCTGGCAGGAGTAGAAAAGAATGGGTCTGAATCTAAACGGGAACCTATTCTCAAAGTAGTCACTTCTGACAATAAGTTTTGATACTTATCTTCCAACTCTTCTCTTTTACTCTTTTCCTTATCTCTGTCCTCTTTTAGTTCAGCCATAGCAGCATACAATGTGTTTAGATTTATAGTTAATTCAGTCATTTCATTTTGCAAGGCATGCATTTCTACATCAGAATCTTTCTCACGTTCCTTCTTATCTACACTTGATTCATCTGCATGCAGATTCTCTGAACTCATTTTGAAAATCACAAAATAACTACAACTTCAAAAAAAAAAAATGTAAACAGTATTATTCAATCTCTCTTCTCTCAGTGCATTAGGCTGAAATCAATTTGATCATATCCCACCCTAGCTGCCACCAATATATTGCGCCCTCCCTTTTCTATGCTCCTTAGCAAAGACCTTATTACTTCTCTTTGCTCTGGGAACCACTCAGACTTTATCCAGAGGGGCACTATCTGTTAATACAAGTGTGTGGTTTCTCCAAAAGTACTCTTTAGAACCCACACTAAAATATATATATTCATACAGGTTACTTATGATCTAATTTCACCCTTAGAGGTAACTGAGAGAAGGGGATAATATCAAACCACTTAATAAGTTTACATTTGTTGATATATTGAGTTAAAGATCATTACATTTCTACAGTAAAATAAACTTTCATCTACAAAAATAAATGTCCCAAATGGTTGTATTCCAACCTGTCACTTTTATTCTTCTGGTTCTTCTCAGGTGTCTTCTTTCCTTGTCTTCATCAATGTCCTGGGCTCTTTCATTCTGGTTCACAGCCCCAAGGACGCATAAATCACAACTTCAGAAGAACCCAACAAACCATAAAAAAAAATAAAACAAAACAAAAAAAACAAACAAACAAACAAAAAAAAAAACACTCCTAGAAAAGAAACAAAATTCTAGTTTAGGAATGATAAACAATATAAAGTTATTAAATATAAGTAAATCAGTTCTTGTAAGATGAAAAACAATATTTCTTACAAACAAACAAATTATATATCTATGTTATTATATACGATCTGAGTAATATATTATCGTAATATTTGATTAAATATCATTATAATATTATACAATTATGAATGCCAAGAACACTTACTCTTTGAATGGGTTTTAAATTCTTATAAACAAGAGAGACACATCGGATGTTATTCAAGAGCCATGTGCCCGCCTCGAGCTGTGAAGAAGATATACTCTTTATCTCTAATTTACAGTTTAATCTCAAATAGTTACTTTCTTTTCTTCTGTAAATCAATTGTACAGTAGTTCATGACTTTATTAATTATATTATTATAGTGGAATGTTCTTTCTTACCTCAGATATTTCACGATAATCAAATACTCTTTCAGGCTGCTGTATGGCACTCCTCTCTGATCTCGATCTCTCTCTCTATGATTATAGCTATGTTTTCAGGATTTAGTACTGTATATACTTTGAATTTTAAAGTCTACTCAGATCACATATATTACACTTATACAGTCCTTCTTAATCTATGCATGCATAATTTTCAGAACTTAAATGAATCCTTCCATTAACAAAAATAATATATATGGTTTTCTTTACAAAAATATCAATTATACAACCTTAATATAATTATACTATTGAAATATAATAGCGTACCCTTTAAATAAAGAGAATGTATGGTGGGGGTAACAAAAAAGCTTATACTTTGTAGGGTAGACTATCATATTTTACAATTTTCTTATCTTAGAAAAATATAATATTGAAATATATAGAATTTCATGTAAAACTATTAAAATAAAATATCATCTTTCTAGAAAAATAATAAAGTACCTTTCTCTCACATGGTTAAAGCTAAAAACTGAGGTATACTTAAATAATACATATGCATAAAGACTAAGTGAGGTGTATACAGGGGGGTTTCCAGACGAATTTTGGGTCATTCTAAATTCACATCCCTTGTGCTCGTTACAAGGAGACGAGGGAATTCACTTGTGTAAGCCCATTAAGTTATTTCATGTGTTCATAAGAGAAATGAAATACTCTCTGAAATACTTTCTCACAGAATGCGCCTACGTTTCCACTGTGCATGGCAGATCATAGAGATCAGAATGCGCCTACGTTTCCACTGTGCATGGCAGATCATAGAGATCAGAATGCGCCTACGTTTCCACTGTGCATAGCAGATCATAGAGATCAGAATGCGCCTACGTTTCCACTGTGCATGACAGATCATAGAGATCAGAATGCGCCTACGTTTCCACTGTGCATGGCAGATCACGGATCATTATTGAGAGGTGTTGCATGCACTGCGGCGAGCCGAACGCCACACTCGTACACTACTTAGAGAATTGTGAGCATACACAATTCCTGAGACAGGGACCGCCTACAACATAAGGATAAGTCCGATATGCGAAGCTGAACCTCGCCCGGGCTATGAAGGGAGCCCGGCCTGTGCCGACCAATGTCGACTCGCAATCAGTGTGTCAGCAGGTGCTGACTCCGGTGAGCTTAGTCCTTACCCACCGTGGTGCCCAGCCACATGCGACAATTACAACTTCTCGCGCTTGGGCCGGGCGCGAACCGCCGACCCCTCGGATGAGAGGCCGATACGTTACCACTACTACCCCGGAGGCTGCCTACAACAGCCGCCGTGCTGGTAAAGAGGTTACGCGATATGCTTACACCATGGCGGCAGGAGCGCCTGTTGGCAATCCCGCCCTCACGGTAAGCGCCGAGTGTCAGAGAACAAAATGAGACAGCCATAAAAAGTAGACATATGCCGGGCCATATATAGATAGATATATACAAGATAGACAGAAGAAGCTAGAATTTCGCAAACTTCAATTGATTGATTGCACGTGAGTGCGTGACGCCACAAGAGCGAGCGACAGCGTGATTGGTCGCCGGAGCAGGGGATGCGTCCGACGAGAAGAAAGAGGGCAGCTCTTTGGCTCAAGTGAGAAAGAAAATGGAGTGTGAGTGGCGCTAAGGGAGGCGGGACGTCACAAAAAGGGGAGGAGTTTATCAGTCTGAGAGCGGCGACTGTGGAGAGAAGATCAGTGCGGATCGAGCCTTCGTTGCGTAAAGTCCTACTGATTATAAAGATTATAAATCTCTTTACTATAATATAAATATTGATTGACTTTTTAAAAGTAATTAATGCATGCAATTTATTATGCTTTTAAGCAGTTGCATATAAATAATTGGTCATTGATAGTTTTTTCTCCTTGCAAGTGTTAAAGTGTTTAACAAACTGAAAATGTTTTACGAACTTAAGAAATAAAAACTTACAAGATATATATCTCATATGATATGATATCTTAGATTATATTCTATACATAAATATGTATATATACATATATATGTATGTATATGTATTTACATATATATATATACATATATATGTATGTATATATATTTACATATATATAGACACATATTTATGCTTATATTACATTCAGGATACATAAATTATGTATATATATATTATACATATAGATACGTATATTTATAGTTAAACTATATAATATTCAGGATACATTATATTATATAATATTTAGGATATATTTATGCATATATTGTTTGGAATTCAGATATTCATAATTCATTTGTTACACTTACATCTTACATTACGTATAAAACATAGGTCTACATAGAAACATTGTGTATGTCCGTAACTAATAAATACATCAATATAAAGAATTTTTTGTACAACAATAGAGAAAAAAAGGGAGAGAGAGAGAGGGGGGGACGAAACGAGGGAGAGAGAGAAAAAAAGGGGGAGAAAGAGAGATAAAAGAGGGAGAGAGAAAGAGATAAAAGAGGGAGAGAAGAGAGAGAGAGGTGGGGAGAGAAAAGAGGGAGAGTGAGAAAAGAGGGAGAGAGAGAAAAAAGAGGAAGAAAGAGAAAGAGGGAGAGAAAGAAAGAGAGGAAGAGAGAGAGAAGGGGAAAGAAAGAGAGAGAAAAAAAGAGGGAGAGAGAAAGAGAGGGAGAGAAGAGAGAGATAGAGGAGAGGGAGAGAGAGAAAGAGGGATAAAGAGAGAGAGAGAGAAGCCTTCTACAGTAAAACGTAACATTCGATAAAATGAGTCATTTATTCGTTTATATTATTCATATTTACATTATTAATATATATTATTATGTATTATATATAATAATAGTATAATATTATTATATTATAATCTATATCATTTATATATATATCATTTATATTTATATTATTATTATATTATTCATACTCATTTATAAACAGCGTCTCATGTCCGCGTCTCATCTATGTTATGATATTGCTTTACATATTTCCATTTTTTTTGTTATCGTTAATTCAACTATTATTTTCCGTATCATCATATAGTCCTTGTCACAATTATCATGATCATTATTGATATGATCGTAGTTATTGTCATTATTATAATTATAATTATCATCATCATCACCTCATTATCATCATTACCATTATCGTTTTCGATGATTATCGTAAACATCACTATCACTATCATTATTTACTTAATAACAATAAAAATTATAATAACAACTATGACAATGTTGATAATCATAAATATAATATTAATGATAATAGCAATATAATTAATAAGAATAATAATGATAATAGGTAATGAAAAATATTATAATAATAGAATAATGATAATGTAATAATATAATAACAATAACAATGAAAATATTGATAGCAATAATAATAACATTAATAGTACAAAAGTGACCTTTCATAACAATATCATTAACTTTATTATTACTAAGGATAGAAATAATTTCTGTAATAATAACAACAATGTAAAAACAAAATCAAACATGATAATGTTGATACTGATAATGAAAAAGTATATAAATAATAATAATAATGATAATAATGAAGATCATGATAATTGGAAATAATTAGAACATAATGTTGATAATGATAATGAAAAAGATATGTCAATAATAATGGTAATAATGATCATAATATTTGGAAATGATATAGAAAGGGAAATGAATATAGACATAGATAATTCGATTGTTACATGAAAAGGTACAATAATGAAAATAAACATAGGCCTATACATACATATGAATATATATATGCATATATATATATATATATATATATATATATGTGTGTGTGTGTGTGAATTATATATATATGTATACATATATGTATATATATATATATATGTATATGCATATGTTTCCATATATATATATACATACATATATATGTATACATGTACACAAATATATAATTACATAGATACAGATAGAATTTGTGTCGGCCTTTAAAATCAAAATGAAATATCCATTTATCTTTTTCTAATAGTATCCATGAATTTCCATCTTTTAATTAAAATAGAAGGATCATAGTTGAAGCTAAATCCCTCTTTTCAAATAGCCAAACGTCTTCCAAATCAGTTGTCATACTGAGTAGGTGCAGTAGATTTCTCGAATGCCATGACCAGTAGTAGCAGTCTTTTGACCACCCCTGTTCACTGCAAGCAGACATGTGCTTACCTGAACAAAAATCCCATGTGGAATTAAATACAGGTCATAAAAGGTTATTATTCTCTAAAGAACTAAGCATTAAACATGTTAAGTAGAGCATAAATCCGTAGAGATTTTATTTTATTTCATGGCATTTACGGAATTATAATTGGCTGAAGAATTCCCAAACTTCAGTGTGTATACATACATGCACACACACACAGACATATATATATACAAATATATGTTAAGGATACTTAAGTAAATGTGCAGTTTTCTTATACGTTTGTGCCGGGAACTATATACCAAACCTTGCTTCCCACATACATCAGTAATGGAAACTAAGCCTTGCGAAACTGCTGTACCGTAAACCAGTGAATAAAGAATGGTCTCAATACTTTCTTGTATTTTATTTCATAAAAAAGCGTTTAACAATCTTTTTAAAACCCCAAGGCTTATATCGGTCCCCTACTTCGCCTAAGCAACCCACTTTAACTACTCTGGAAACCCCTGGGGTAACTCTTCCCAATCCCCAAGACTCAAGGAAGCGTCAGTTTCATTTTTTTACTTTCGCCTCTCTTCCAGTCGAGCGTCCCATGAAGCGAAGAGTCGTAGCTGCCGCTCAGCTTCGGGGAGCTTACCCGTAAGGAGAGTGTGTGAAGACATAAGGTGAGATCATAGGAGACTTTGGCAGTTTGTAGTTCTATTTTTGGCAGGTAAATATACAGCAATGTAATTATGTGCATATATTCAATATATATGTTTATTTGTGTTTATATACATATGCATATATATATACATATATATATGTGTGTGTATAAATATTTATATATATATATGTGTGTATGTATATATGTGAATATATATTGTTATGGATCGGGTTCTTTGTCTGTTTAAGAAACGACCTTGCCTTTTTATGGGAACTTTGGAGCAGAAATAAAAGCTTTTGTAGGTTATAAGAATTTCTTTTATTAGTCTTATTTTGTAAAGTATTAGCTTTGAAATAATGAGGGGTACAGGAACCGACCTCGCCTTCTCTGGTCAGGATTGGATCTTGCCCTCGCATGAGTAGTGTGGAGCGTTTGAAGCTCACCACTCGTCTGACGTTGTCGGCTTCTTCACCCCACCACCTCAGCTGTTGGCGCGCAACTTATGTTTCCTTGGCGGCTTCCTTGGCTTCCTTGGCCGTGACGTCACTTCATACCCGCCACCACTTATCACTGTCGTTTACCATTTAATTTGCTTATGGTACATTTTAGTTTAAGTTTGGTGTTTATTTTAATGTTTAGAAAATAAAAGCTAATTATTATTAAAAGTATATTGTCAATACTTGACAATGCCTCCCCATTTAAATAAAAGAAATTTTAGTTTCTTTTAACACAACACGGTTTCACTTTGAACACTTAACGCGGGATTTCTGCTTAAGAAATCGGCACCAACATTTTCACTACCGCGGATATAACGAATAATCATTCTGTATTCTTGTAGAGCTAGCGCCCACCTCATCAAGCGACCGTTCAGTGATTTTGCTGTATCCAGATACACGAGAGGTTGGTGGTCCGTTTCGAGGTAGAACTCGCGACCGTACAGGAACTTGTAGAATTTCTTGGTCGCCCACACCACCGCCAGACACTCTCGTTCGATCACCGAATATTTTTGCTCCGTGTTAGACAGTTTTCTGCTGGCATACGCCACGGGGAGTTTCTGGTCAGCATCTTCCTGTAAAAGGACAGCTCCCAAACCCACTTCCGAAGCGTCTGTTCTGAGGATGAAAGGGTTATTAATATCTGGGAGTTTAAGGATGGGTTTATCTGACAGCGCATATTTCAACCTGTCGAATGCGCGCTGATGTTCTTCTCGCCACGTGACCTTGGACGGGGCGCTTTTCTTGACCAGCTCCGTCAGCGGCGCGGCGATGCTGGCGTAATTTTCGATGTAGCGACGGTAGTATCCAGACAGCCCGAGGAATGACCTAACTTGCTTTTTACTAGTAGGCGGGGGAGTGTCTATGATGTTAATAGTCTTTTCAGCAGTAGGTTTTAACTGGCCTTCGCCAACAATATGTCCCAAATATTCCAAGGTTGTCTTACCTAGCTCGCACTTCGTTGGTCGCGCCGTTAAATTTGCGTTGCAGAGTTTAGTCAGCACTTGCTCTAGTAGAATGCAATGTTGATCCCACGTCGTCGCGTGTACCAGAATATCGTCAAGGAAGGTTTCCACTCCTTCCATGTTGCCAAATAAGCTTCGCATGAGTCTGTTAAACGCTGCAGGAGCATTAACCAGGCCGAATGGCAAGACTGTAAATTGAAACAAACCTGCAGGAGTAGAAAAAGCGGTAAACTTCCGGGAATCCTTTTCCAGAGGTATTTGCCAGTAACCTTTTGTCAGGTCGATCTTCGAAAAATATCTGCTGTGACTTAGCCTGCAAAATATGGATTCTGGATCACACATGGGTTCTGCATCAAATTTAACAATTTTGTTTAGTCTCCTAAAATCCAAACAAAGCCGATGTTTTCCATCCTTTTTAGGCACAACTAAAATAGGAGTCGAGAACGAGGAGTCCGATGCTTCAATAATGCCAAGTTGCATCATATGAGACAGCTCTTCTCTCACCACATCCTCTAAGCTGTAAGGAATAGGGTAAGGTTTTACTCTAATAGTGTCGGGCACCGTCACCTCAATTTTGTATTCAGTCACATTAGTTTTACCTGGAACATCCGTTAATACCGTTTCATACTTGCGTAAAATTTCCTGTAGATCTTCTTGCTGATCGTCTGGTAAATGAATATTGCAATGTACGTCTTTCCACGTCTCCTGCTGGCAATAACTGGGAATTGTAATTAATTTACCTTGCACGGCGTCGGACGCCACCACGGCGACGGCGGTTTTCTCCGTTTTCTTTTCGCCTTCGCGGTACACGTAACGCTTCAACATGTTAACGTGATATTTTCTCGGAGTCCCGTTTACATCCACCACCTTGTTCCATTTGCTAGGGCTGCCTAAGACTCTGAACGGTCCCTTCCACTGGAACAACAGCTTGTTGGTATTGGTAGGCAACAGTAGCAAGACGTCATCGCCAACCACAATATTTCGGTCTTTGGTTTTCTGGTCGTAGTAGTGCTGGGCTACCTCCTGCGCCTGTTTTAATTCTGTTAAAGCCATTCTACATGTGTTTTCCAACCTTTCTCGTAGATTAATTACATACTCATATGCAGACTTTACCTCATCATCAACCGGACTGCCGTCCCATAACTCACGCAGCAGTGTTAGCGGTCCTCTTACGGTGTGTCCGTAAATCAGCTCGAAGGGCGAGAATCCCGTGCTGGCCTGGGGTACTTGGCGGTAAGCAAATAGAAGGGGCGCCAAGTAGCGGTGCCATTCCTTGGGCTGCTCAACACACATCCTTTTAAGCATTTTCTTTAGTGTCCCGTTAAATTTTTCAACAAGACCATTGCACATAGCATGGTATGGTGTAGTGGTCAAAGACTGAATAGAAAGTAAGCGATATACTTCTTTCATTATGTCAGAGGTAAACTGTGTCCCCCTGTCAGATAAAATCTCTCTAGGCACACCTACCCTGCTGAAGATTGTAACCAAGGCCTCTGCTACTGTGGGTGTATCAATGCTTGGAAGAGCGACAGCCTCGGGGTACCGCGTAGCATAATCCACTGCCGTCAGGATGTACCGAGAGCCATTTGAAGATCGTGGCTCAAGCGGCCCCACCAGGTCTACGGCCATGCGAGAAAATGGTTCACCAATGAGCGGCATGTCACCCAGTCTGACCTTGCTCACCTTCCCCTTATCCACCGTCCGTTGACACACGTCGCATGATCTGCAGTAGCGAGTTACAGCGACGGTAACACCTGGCCAAAAGAAATGTGCAAGTATTCTATCTTTAGTTTTGCTTGTGCCCAAGTGGCCTCCCATAATGCCTGAATGGGCCAGCTCCAGGATAGCTTGGCGACACGCCTGAGGAACAATGAGTTGATCCCGTTGTCGTTTTCCCGTCATCACATGCCTGTACAGCAGTCCTCTTTTCAAAACGAATTTAGATATTTCATTATTTTTCATCCTTTTAAAAACTTTACCTTTTTGTACGTATATCCGAATTCCATCCAAACTTTTATCCTCCTCTTGAGTTTTCTGTATATTCGTGTTCAACATTTTCGTAACCTCTGCTATCTTCAACACTGGCGTCTTCCTTTTACATTCACTCTCGAATCTGGTCTGCATTCTCGTCATCACTCCACACTTTTCCGTTCGTGCGTCGTCCTCACCTGTACTTGCTCCTGGTATTTCCCCGATTATCAAGTCATACAGGGGCTGTGGTAGACATACGGCATTCACCCTCCCAGTATAATAGGGGGTTTTGACATCAATTACTGCTTCAGGGTAGTAATAAATTTTAGAATTTGCCATCATTATGCCCACTTCCTTACCAGTCAATTTAGACGACGGAACCAGACTTCTCCTTACCAACACTGTTGAACATCCTGTGTCCCTCAGTACTACGGCTTTTCTTCCTTCTACTTCTCCTCTAGCAGTCTTCAACTTCTCCTTACCTTTGGCTAGAGTTCCTCCACACAATTCCTCTCCATCTACAGCTTTCTTTTCACTCTCCTTTGCTTCTCCTCGATTCCATTTCACACTATTTTCTGGTGCAATTACAACACTGCTTACTGGGGCGGCTGCATCTTCCTTCCGCGGCTGTGGTTTGCTCGTTTTTCCTCGAACATTCGGTGGCCTGAAATAACATTCCCATGCCCTGTGTCCCCGTTTATTACATATGAAGCAAGTTACCTGGCCCCGCACTGCGCCTTTTTCCGTTGCTGGGATGCTGGGCGTGGAGGGCTGAGGAGGGCGGAATACCTGCGACTGGTGTGTCATTGCTCGAGTCCCTTGGTTTCCGTGGGCCTCGAGGAAACGATCCGCGTTCTCCTGTAGCTCTTGTAGAGTTCTTAGAGATCGCTCTTTTAGGAATAAACTCAGGTTACGGTCACATGAGGATAGAAATTGCTCTCTGATGATCAGTTCCTTTAAAACCTCGTACTCTTTTTCACATTCTGCCATCTCAGTCCATCTCTCAAACAGTTTTGTCATTCTTGATATTAACTGTTTGGCAGTCTCTCCCGTAGAAAATTTACAGTTTCTAAATTTAGTTCTAAAACCCTCAGCTGTGCAATCAAATCCCTTTAATAGTGCTGATTTTACCAGCTCAAAATTATTTGCTTCTGAAGGGGTTAATTGGTGATATATGTCCAGGGCTTTACCTTGCAATAAGGAGGCTAAACTGATGGCCCACACTTCTTCGGACCAATTTGCGTTCCTAGCGAACCTTTCAAACCGCTGAAGGTATGCATCAATGTTATCGCATTTATCATTGAACACAGGTAATTTGGGGTACTTTACCTGTACTTTTGCAGTGTCGTGGTGTGCCACCTCATCTACCACAGGGAACTCTTTTTTTAACTCCAGCTGCCTTATCTTCAATTCTTCTTTCTTTAACTCTGCTTCCATCTTTGCAGTTTCAAATTTTCTCCTTTTTTCTTCATCGTCCATCTCTTTCTGCTTCCATGCTCTTTCCTCCTTCCTTTCTTCTCTTGCTGCTGCCTCTTTCTCCCGTTCATACTGCATGCCTTCTTTTATGAACTGGGCTAATTCTACGCCCGTGAGCCCCAGATCTCTACCGATCTGGTGTAGCTTTTCTGTCTCCATGCTCCAATTCCCTTTTGAAAGGACTTTTCACGAAGGTCGTCCCTGTTCGGGCGCCAAAATGTTATGGATCGGGTTCTTTGTCTGTTTAAGAAACGACCTTGCCTTTTTATGGGAACTTTGGAGCAGAAATAAAAGCTTTTGTAGGTTATAAGAATTTCTTTTATTAGTCTTATTTTGTAAAGTATTAGCTTTGAAATAATGAGGGGTACAGGAACCTCGCCTTCTCTGGTCAGGATTGGATCTTGCCCTCGCATGAGTAGTGTGGAGCGTTTGAAGCTCACCACTCGTCTGACGTTGTCGGCTTCTTCACCCCACCACCTCAGCTGTTGGCGCGCAACTTATGTTTCCTTGGCGGCTTCCTTGGCTTCCTTGGCCGTGACGTCACTTCATACCCGCCACCACTTATCACTGTCGTTTACCATTTAATTTGCTTATGGTACATTTTAGTTTAAGTTTGGTGTTTATTTTAATGTTTAGAAAATAAAAGCTAATTATTATTAAAAGTATATTGTCAATACTTGACATATATACATATATATATGTGTATCAATATATGAATATATAAGTATATATATGTATATATGAATATATGAATAGATTCTCTCTATATATATATAATCACATAAATACATTTATATTTATATACGTATATATATAGATATATATTTGTATTTATACAAGTATATATTTGCATAAATGTATATTTTTATCTATATATGTATATCTATCCATATATATGTATGTATATATGTTAATATATATATATATATATTAATATATATATATATATATTTATATATATGCGTGTATATATATATGTGTACACATACATATATATGTATATGTACATACACAATTATATGTCAATATAAATATATATATATATGTGTGTGTGTGTGTTTGTTTCCATATGTGTGTATGAATACATGCATAAATAATATATATATGTATATATATACATATTTATATGTACGTGTCTGAGTGATTCTTTGTGTGTCTACATATATATGAATAAATGGATAAGTCATATACATCCACAGACACACATATATATTAATATATATATACCCTTACATACATACACACTCATATACACAAAAATATATGGACGCACACACATATATATATATATATTATATATATATATATGTATATTTAACACACTCATATAAATACTAAGTAACAGAACTAAAATTCCAGAAAGAGCCAAAAGTGCGAGATTGGCCAGTTAACCTTGGTTAGTAATATATGTATGAGTGTATCCGTAAATATAGAATTGATTTGCATATATATATATGTGTGTGTACATAAATTCATATATATATATGTGTTTGTTTGTGTGACCGTATCGTTGGAATCGACTGTGGAGTTTAACGGCCTTTTTTTAACCCTAAGGCATGCATCGACCCCTTCGATAGTCCCATCGAACCCCAAGGAACAACAACGGCCACCTGGGCTAGCCTTCCCTCGTCTCCAAGACCCGGGAGAGGAGCACGAGTTCCCTCACTGCCTTCGTTTCTGATCAGTCGAGTAGAGTTCCCTTGAGCGGAGTCTCTGGATGACGCCCGAGGAAAGGCACGCACGGTCACTCAGCTGAGACGAATTTACCGGGACAGAGTGTGTGAAGAAATAAGGTAAGGTTATGGGATAATCATTTTAGTTATTTCGTTTTGATGCAAATACGTACATTATAATTAAGTGTATACACATATATTATGTATGTATATATATATATCATATATATACAATGCATGCTATATATATCTTGCTAACAATATATATACATAGTTATGTGTGTATGTATACATATATTTATACAAACACACGCACGCCTATATATAGTATATATACATATATATAGAATATATATATTATATATTTAATATATACATATATTTATACTTATAAAGTATATATGTGTATATATACATATATAGTATACATGTGTATGCGTATATGTATATAAACTACACATACTATATTCATCCTTCTATCAATATATATATACACATATATGTATATATATACATAAATACACTATATATATTCTCTCACACACATATATATATATTCATAGACGGACACAGGCGCAGAAATGTTTATATATATATGTATATATATGTGTGTACCTATTCATACAAAGACGCACACGCACGTGTATGGGTATATATGTATACATATATACTCACATATATATGTATATGTATATATATCATATACATCTTGTACTCTTACATATAACTATATGCATACATATAACTGTATATACACAAACATAACCATGCACATGTACACACACACACACGTGGACACGTACACACATACATAGTATATATATACATGCACGTACACTTTCATAGACATGCGCATGTCATATGTACCTCCACGTGCATACATATAAGTATACACATCTACCTAGATGCAAGCCCACATTTATATACACCTTGTACATGTATGTATTACCATGCACAGATATACAACCATACATATGAACACGCACACTTACGTTTATATGTACACTCGCGTATAATTATACACCTGTACATGTATTTCATATAGATGCACTTATGCACATACACATGTATATATATATACATAGACATGCATAGAAATATACATATCTATATACTTATACACATATATACCATGAAGTACAAACAGGGGAACACATGCATCTTGTACTCACATAACTATACGCATACATATAACTGTATATACACAAGCAAAACCAAATACATGTATACAGACACATACACACAAACTGTATCTGCAGTAGCAAATTACACAGTCCAATATAATAAGCCCTGCATTATATTGTGCTTAAATTGTAGGGTTCCAGCAGAGTGGTTGAGGGAAGGAGGCGGGTGCTGTGAAAGGGGAGGAACTAGGATGGTACTGTATTTGTATCTGACAATTTTTCGGATTTCTCTGTCGCATTCCTTAGCGGTTGCTAAGCCGGCTTGCGCCCTCGCCCGACCGCGGCCATGGGTCGCGGGGTCAGCGGCTGGCGTTCGTTTCAGGTGCCATCGCTTGACTTCGTTAATACATAGTTTATCTGTCGATTGGTTAAATATACTTATCGCTTTATGGTATAGGTTGAAACCTACCTGATTTTGTGATGTGGTTTGGCGGTTCCTGAGTGAACCTCCTAGATGAAAACAGTCTTACCCCTGTGACTAAGCACTGTAACTCGGCTTCCTGTGTGTATGGGGACAGTGATGCCAGCCATTTTCTAACCTTATGAGCTCATTTAACACAGTAATGGAACCTAGTATTCCTAGTTGGCACTTAGTTTAAAACCTCCATGTATGCATAGTCCAATGTTGAAGTTCATATACTTGTGAGACGTTTGGATAAATTATGATTTTCATTGTAATATATGATCTCTACATTCGTGAATCTTTCTTATGTAGCAATATGATCACTTCTGTCTCGAAATATTGAACAATTATTGTCATTGACCTAACCTCAAAACCTCTTTTAGGCATTCATAAATATATGTGTGAGTGTATACATGTATATATCTACATATCATATACATTATATTTATCAGCCTACTTATCTATCTTTCTCTCTCTATATATATATATGAATTATATATATATACATATATATATATATATATTGATATATATATTTAAATATATATATTTAAATATATATATATTTAAATATATATATATATACATATATATGTATGCATATATATGTAATTATATGTATATATTAAACACACACATATATATATAAGTATATATAGGCACATATATGTAGGTAATTATACATTTATATAGAAATATACATAAAAATATATAAACACACATATATGTATAAAGTTACATATACATATATATATATATACATACACACACACATGTATATATATAACCACATATATATACTTATACATACATTTATACACACACACACATGTATATATATATATATAACCACATATATATACTTATACATACATTTACGTACACACACACACAAAAACCCACAAATATACACATAAATATACACACATATATATTCTCTATTATGTAGCACTATAACAGATCACTTCTGACCAGTAATTTTCAACACCTGTTGCCTCTGACTTAACTCCTCTCTTATTCAACAATATATATATATATATATATGAATGTGTGTGTGTATGTGTGTGTATTCATATATATATATTTAGAAATATTAGACATATATCTATATTATATATGCTTATGAAATAGATAGCAATCTATCAGTCTAACAATGTATCTATATATCTGTCTATCTACGTACATATGTATATAATTGTATATATATAATTATATATATAATATTGTATATATACATATATATATATATGTATATACATACATACATACATATATATATACATATATATATATATATATATATATATATATATATATATATATATCGTATGTGTGTTTTGGAGTATGTGTAAATTTACACACACACACATGCATACATACACATATATATAAATATATATATATATATATATATATATATTTATATATATATATATTTACATATATATTTATATATGTGTATATATGTTTGTATATATACAAACATATATATGTATAGATATATATATATATGTTTGTATGTATACAAACATACATATGTATATATATATATATATATATATATATATATATATATATACATATATGTGTATATATATACACATGTAAATATACAGATATATATACACATATACATACATATACATATAAATATATATATATATATATATATATATATACATATATATATACATATACATA